TTTTCCTTCGCATACAATACCCACCTCCAGTTTTCCCCAACTGGTTTTTAGGGGGGAAAGGTGTAGCTTACGTACAAGAAGATGCATTCAATGCAATTTCAAATCAATATTTTTATTTGCCAGGTGACATATTCTCACACACTGGACTCCAGCTTACCTTCTAAACAGAGATTAGAAGCTATGAACATGCAGCGATTGATGTAAACATCTGGACCATCAGACTTGTAAATCATTTCATACTTTCCCTCTTTCTCACCATCTATATAGTATTTGTAGGCAATGTGCTTATTCAAGTTGTCTTTGGAAATAAGAACATATCCTTCAAAGAGGTGTCCATGCTCTTTCAGGTCCCTGTTTAGTACAAATTACAGTACGTATTAAGCGGCTGCAAAGAAGAATGATCACAGACACTGGTTTAATACTTCATTTTTAGCAGTCCCACTGGCAAATTAATTCCAAAAGGCTACTTCCAGCTTTCTCCTGTTTAAGGCAAAAATCTACTTGGGACCTACAGAGCAGCTACACACCTACAGGAGCCACTTCTCTTGTATACTTCATTTCCCCCTCTACACATCACTAATGTGATGGAGCCACAACAACTGCTTTATGGCTGACGCTTGCCAGGTCCTCACCCTGGTGTGTCGCACACGTGAGAAGGTGGTCAGCAGTCTGTTGTGCATCACCACACTCGTATATTAGACTGTCCTTTACGCCAGACTTAGAGTGTGGCATGAAAGCACCCAGCTCCAGAGCAAATCCTGTTTCGTTTAATCTGTAAGTTGTGGGGAGCTTGTACTCAGGTGGGTAGGGTGCTGGGTTGCTTGTGAAGTGCCTGAGACGTCAAGAACCGATAGGAGCCACTGGAAGCAGAGCAAAAAGCCAGTGCTGCAGCTTAGCCAGCTATTAGCATCCTGCCAGCTGTCCAGTGCTGGGAGCAGGAACAAGAGGATTCCCAGCTCTCCACTGTCCAAGCTTAGACCAGCCACTCTCACCTCTGCATTGCCGTAAACTGCAAAGAATACAAACCTTCCTCACTGGGCTGCTGGAAGGCTGCATACGTTAGCTTTGGTATGGCATGTCAAGAGACTTGGCAGGGGATGCCAGGAAAGGGCCATTTGGCCATTTCACAAAAATGCAACATGCATGTGAAATTCAAGATAAACATTTCTGGATGGAAGATGGCACGGGTATTAGAGGACCACAGTAAAATTAGTTTCATCTCCCTGCTTTGACCTGCAGCTCTCATG